GATTGTGAGCAAATGAGCTTCATAAATTCTGACTCTAGCGATGATGAGTTCTTGGGGTTTCCAGAAAACTAGAGTACTCAAACCTTTAAGTCTCTCAATTTGTTAATGACAGTGATAATGGTTCTTAATGCCACTGTTGACTGCTCTTTACTTTACATGGTTCAAATGTTATTCTGTTATAGTTTATTAAATATTTTATTACACTATTTGGTTCAGAATATTTTTTTTCCTGTTTTCCTCCTCTAAAAACTAGGTGTGTCTTATGGTCAGGTGCATCTTATGGAGCGAAAAATACGGTACTTTTCTCCCTTTCTCACAATACAAGAACTCGTGGGCACTCCATGAAATTGCTGAGCGGTCAGGTTAGAACGGATAAAAGGAAGTACTTCTTCACCCAAAGTGTGATTAACACATGGAATTCACTGCCACAGGAAGTGGTGGCGGCTACATGCATGGATGGCTTCAAAAGGGAATTAGATAGGCATATGGAGCAGAGGTCCATCAGTGGCTACTAGCCACAAGGTATAGATAGGGGCTCTGGGGCAAGTGATGCTCTGTCTTCTTGGTGCTTGGGGGGGGGGGCAACAGTGAGAGGGCTTCTAATGTCCTGGCCCCACTGGTGGACCTCCTGATGGAACCTGGTATTTTTGGCCACTGTGTGACAGAGTGTTGGACTAGATGGGCCTTTGGCCTGATCCAACATTGGCGTCTCTTATGTTCTCTTATGTTCTTATGTACTTACTAGGGACCTAAATGCATCATTTCTCATTGAACTTTAATCTCTCTCAGTAGGCAGTTTCCTTCCAGCAATAACGCCAGACCGTCCATCTGAGCTAACTCTTTCAAAGTATAGAAGGGTATTCATGCTTGCGCACCTGAATGCCCTGCCTTCAGCGGTGATGCTGGGAAGATTCAATGGAATTCCATGTCCAGACAGACTCCGTAATTGTGGCAACAACAGAAGTGATTCTGTGGATCATATTTATTTTTGACTCCCCAAATTTTCAGAACTAAGAGCTGAATTGATTTCTCCATTACTTAATCAGGATTTTATCTCTTCAGAAGCGAAATCATCTCGGTTACTCAGAGATAAACAAACCACTTTATGTGTGGCGAAATTTCTGGCAGCTGTCGTTCAGTTACACAATAACTCTTGTAGTAATTTCTAGGCTCTCTTTTGTGGGGAGAGGGCTTGCTGTTTATGACTCTGGTTGTGAAAACAGTAATTAAGAAGTAAGATGGACTGGATCTCTCACTCAGCTGCAGAGCAGCACCACTGGATTAGGTTCATCTAGCCAAACACACACCCCGGAAGCAGTGTTCCCTCTAAGCTGAGTGAGTGTGAGCCAGCTCACAGTTTTTGAGCCTCCAGTTCACACATTTTTGTCTTCGCTCAGGAAGGATGGCTTCAGAGCAAACTAATTGATGCAGTAGCCAAATTGCTTGCTCACAGCTTTAATGCCAGGAGCTCACAAAGTAGAATTTTTGCTCACAAGACTCCACAGCTTAGCAAACACACACCCCGGAAGGTCTACAAGAAGGGCCAGAAAGGCTGGGCCTTGCCCTGTTGTTACCTCTTCCCCGTCCCTGGCAAATTGTATTCAGAGGCACACTGCCTCTGAACACGGAGGTTCCATCTAGCCATCCTGGGCTAAGAGTTATTGGTGGACCTCATCCTCCATGGGTTTGCCTAATACCCTTCTATGACATCTGGACAAGTGGCCAGCACTGCACCCTGTGTCCATGAGTTCCACAAGTTAAAACGCCCTGTGTGAAGAACCATTTTCTATCGTCTCTCCCAAATGTTCTTCCCATCAGCTGCTCACTGGAGCCCCCCCCTTAGTATTTTGATAGAAGAGGGGGGGTATCTCTCTATGCACATTCTCTGCACCAGGGGTGGCCAAACTTGCTTAACTTAAGACCAGTGTTCCCTCTAAGCTGAGTTAGTGTGAGTTAGTTCACAGTTTTTTAGCCTCTGGCTCACACACATTTGTCTTAGCTCAGGAAGGAGGGCTCCAGAATGAACTAATTTATGCAGTAGCCAAATTGCTTGCTCACTGCTTTAATGCCAGTAGCTCACAAAGTACAATATTTGCTCACAAGACTCCACAGCTTAGAGGGAACATTGCTTAAGACCCACATAGAATAAACATCAGACGTTTGAGAGCCACAAGACATGAACAAATATAACCGACTGGAAAGTTTTTATAACCTGCAGAAAAGTTTTTACTGGAAAATATGCAGATTTGCTTTTTATCAACATTAAATGTTAAAAATTGAATTTGCTTTTTATTAACATTAAATGTGAACGTTAAACGAGACTGCCAAAAATAAAAACAAAGGGGGTAAAAACGGGTATTTAACTTTAGATGGGGAGGGAGGGGAGGAACAAAGAGAGAGAGAAATAAAGGTGGAACGAAAGCAAATAGATGGGGGGGGGGAGGGGGAAAGAAAGCGACTTCAAAGGCATCTTTCAAAACCCCAGGGGTCATTTACTCACCCTCCCTCTTCTCCTGCCTCCTCCTGGCTGAATGAGGGCTGGAAGCGGGGCGGCCGGAAGCAGGGGGCGGGGCTTCGTTATGTGCCCTGCCCCCGTACCTCACCCGGGGGAACTGCGATCCCCCGTGTTCCCCCCCGAAATGACCTCTGCAAGACCCCCCCCCACGCCGGCTGGCTTGGCTTGAAGAAAGGATGTAAAGAGACAAATGCCCTCTCCAAGCCGCCCAGCGGTGGGAGAATCTTTAAGAACGCATTTAGAGTTAAAGTTGTTCTCTTTCTCCGCTCTCCCCCCCCCATCTCAAGCCTACCTGGGGAGGGAGGGGAACACTGGCTGGGGGAGGGAGAGACCATCGTGG